TATATATATATATATATATATATTTTTTTTTTTAAAAGGTTTTTTTTTATTTGGGCTTGTTAAATTAATTTTCGGGCTACCAAAATTTGAAGAGTACCTGCCCGAAGGGCTACTAGGGATTTTAAAATTTTGCGAGCCCTGCGAGCCTACAATGCCAAACCACACAGAACACTCTAGCAACCACATAGCAGTATTCCAATAAGCGTACATGGAACACCTTATTAAGCACATACTGTAGCAATGCCCTACAACTTTGTTGTGGGAGCAATGTATACTGTGGCAGTATTTATTTATAAATATGCTAAAGTGACAAAAATTTACTTTTTTGGCATTTTGGTTTGCTGCCAATAATGGTGCAGCAATTATAAACAATTTTTCTCACAATAAAGCAAATGAGTTCTGTATAATTAAATGTTTTTATTTTAGGTGTAAACTGTACAAATCTGTTCAAATTCCATTTTTCCCTGGGGAAAATATATGGCTAATATAATCAAATCCCTGAAGTCCTGCCAAATATTGATGTGTTAGTCTCTCTCTCTCTCTGACATCTCAAGAATAATTGTCATAAATTCACTATAGTACACCTCTAATCCCACCTTTAATCCAATGCCATTCAGTAAACTGTAGAATATAAGTACAACAGAACAGTAAATGTGAGTGGGGTTTTCACATAGAAACCTTGCTGGCACAATATATGCATTAAAACCGTTTAATGCACAGGTAGTTCCAAGTCAGTTTAATCACCAGTCTATATTCATGCACTGCTTTCATTGATTCACACAAACACACACCTCACAGAGAGAGAGAGAGCGAGAGAGAAGAGAGAGAAGATGCATTAAAACCGTTTAATGCACAGGTAGTTCCAAGTCAGTTTAATCACCAGTCTATATTCATGCACTGCTTTCATTGATTCACACAAACACACACCTCACAGAGAGAGAGAGAGAGAGAGAGAAGAGAGAGAAGAGAGAGAGAGAAGAGAGAAGAGAGAGAGAGAGAGAGAGAGAGATATCACAGAAACATTCAGGAGCACAGAAACTTGTTGTCAGTGCTGCCCCTTGACTTTAATAAAAAGCTTAGATACTGGATCACTACATTATATTCCTCAGCAATGAAGGGGTAAATCGCTTTTTTTTTTTTAAAGTAAGTAATCTCACAGCTTCTTTGCTTGGAGAGAGAGACACGCAGACGCAGGTAATTCACACACGCAACTGTCATCTCTCTCTCTCGATCTCAAATTAATTTTAAAAAATGTTATAATTCATTAATTCAAATAAATGTGATCTTACTGCACTATTTCATCTCTGTGCCTGATTTGAAGCGGGCAGAATGCTTGCGCTAACAAGTTGTAACTGACGAAAATAACCATAATTTTTACCCTTCCAGTCAAATATTGCGCTGAAAACATCATTAACAGCTTTAACTTGTCAATGCTGGTAAAAATTACCATGGTATAAGCAGCATAATGCATAGCTAGCCATGCATTATCCCTTACATACACATTGTTCCAATTAGTATTATTTAAAAACACACTAAGTTTATTTCACAGTGGAGTGGTACTGAGGGCATATGGTTCACATGGAGTGAAGATCAAGCAAGGGTACAAAGACTGAGAGCATTCTTCTTTAGTTGGTGCTGCGGCTATAATATTCTCTTCCATAATATCCATAACCATGTATTGTTCAGTAGAACTGTCAGCAGCTCATACCTGGAAGAAAGAGCTTTCACATAGGGTGTCGTGGCAAATGTCCAGGTGGCTGAAAGGGGTGCTCTTGGGGCCCTCAGCTGGTGTTTGGCCTTCTTGGGCAGATCCGCTGGGCTGGCAGCTCTGGGCAAAGGACAGGATGTAATGAGCAGCCACGGTCCAAAACTGAAGGTCTGATTCATCACCAAACAGCCTAATAAAAAAAAATAATAATGAGGCTTTTCCTGCTTTCAGAGAGTTAGAAGCTGTCACACACATTTCCACACTTTTTCCAAATATATGGCATTGATTGTTGTGGAAAAAAATGTAATTATGTGGACTGTGGAAAAAATTAGTGAAGCTGTTTAGTATAATAGCACTGGGTCGCTGCACTGTTTGTATCACTCCGCTCATCTGTATTCACAGCATTCTAGACAGGTTATCTATGAACAAGGGAACCTATGACCAGTGGCGGAGCCAGGATGTTTTCATAGGGGTGGCCAGGGAGGGGCCAGCAACCAGTCTGGGGTGGCACAGAAATCTTCATTATTTCAATATAAAAATGTCATTGGCTATAAAGTATTGGACTGTTTTAGTGCCTAAAACACAACTGAATACAATTAATTTCTACTAAATTGTAACTGAGATATTTGTGAATTAGATCTAGTAATGCTGAGTGAATATGACAATTTGTGTATTATTCCCCACCTCCAGGTATTTTAATAAAGGGGCTAATTATAGATTTATTGCTCAGTCAGCTTGGTTCTGGTTCTCAAAACTACCAAAAGCTTGTTCTCCATCATTGATGAGACATGCAGATAGTGATAAGAATTGGTTAATAAAAAATAAAAATAAAAAGGCCGGAAGTCAACAGCACATAAATGCCAGAATGTAAAATGAGTTGTTGTATGCATTTAAATGGTTTCATTTTCGTTTGTACTTTACAAATAAATAAATAAATAAAAAATAGCGCATGTTTTCTAGTATAAGTGCACTGTGTTCATATTTACTTGTGCATTAAATTACAGAAAAAAAAGCAAACAAAAAAAACATCAGCTTGTGATGCTTATATATATATATATATAAATATATTGTGATCTCGAATTGCACAATATTTTAGTACATGCATTTGAGAGACGGGTAATTTCATTGGACCTCCAGGGCAAGATTTGAGGAACCCTGGTCTAGGATGAGTTAGAAAAATAATGCTTTTTTTTTCTCCCAGACAAATCAAAACAGCAATAAATAAATAAATTAATAAATAAATAAATGAAATACTATAGAGGAAAATAAAAAGTCTTCAGGATTCATAAGATTTTTTTTACGCTAGCCATTACGGTTTCAGAAATATGAACCAAAATGACCTTTTTTTTAATAGTGCCACCTAGTGTCAGATGGATATGTTGTGTGCATGAGCCTGAATAATCGGGGTGGGAGACTCCTAACTTGGTGGACTGCCCATTCTACTAAGTTATGTGTCTCTACGACTGTGGTACTGACACTTTTAGGGATCAGAAAAATAAAAGAAAAAGAATCAGAAAATCTTAACCAATACAATAGGGTTTCAGGATCAATCTGTGTAATGCTGAAAATGAATTGAAATGCATTCTCAATTAAAATGGTGCACAACACTGCTGGACTGACACTTACCGAGACACAAGGATGCAGCGTTGTAGCAAGTTCAGATTTGGATCCTGGAGAACACTTTTGATGTCACTAAGTGGGAAGAGAATAATGAATGCTCAGGGAAATGATGATGATGATAACAATAATAATAATAAAACACATTAACAAAAATAAATTAAAACATCACGTGAGACACGGCAACATGCTCTTTAATAAGCTCTTAAAACAATGTGAGCTATTTGAGGATAATTTTGTCCCTGCTTTTATATATAAGTACTTCTTTGGAAATAAATTTCCCTGAATAACCATACTTGGATTACAGAATAATTGTAGAAACAATGCTGTGCTCTATTCTGGGAGTATACATACTTAGAAAGAGAGTTGAGCTGTTCCTGGATCAGTCCCTTGATTTCATTTTTTTCTGCGTAGTCTCTAAGGATGAAAGCACAGAATACAAGTCATCAGTTCATCTTTTGTCTGTTCAATTGTACAATTTTAAGGCTAGTTCACACGGTAGGTACATGAGGCGGTAATAGGCATTTTGTTTGACTACCTTCTGTAATTGTGATAGGGATAGATCAAAATAGAATACACTAACTAAACAAAACTAAAATAAACTGTCAAAACAAGGATTGCCACACCGTTTGATTGACCAATGAATTTCCATGACTTTTCTAAGACCTTTCCAGGCATTTATGATCAAATCATTTAATAAATATTGATGAGGGAGATTTTTATTTGTATGTCAGGCACTTGTTTCAATATATAGAGTTAAACAATTATACTTATCAGTGTGTAAATATATTGCTTGAAAAGAGCAATATATAGGTGCAAAAATAAAGGACAAAGATTTAATATAATTCCATGACTTTTCCAGATCTGGAAATTAGAATTTAGGACTTCCCCCTGGGGAATCTGCAAATCTATTCACACTGTCCCGCAATTAATTTGATCTAAATGGCACAATAATAATAATAATAATAGGGCTGCCGTTGTTCACTGACGAGCTGCGCAAAAAATCGCTTGAATATGAACGTGGTTTTGCGCAGCTCGTCAGTGAACAACGGCTCTGTGTAGTTAATGCTGCTCAATGTGAAAGCCCGCACGTGATGGAGATTTACCGCTGATTACAGAACCGGCTTTCTGACAAGATGCGCGTTAAATATCGCATGCGATTTATCGTGCAGCCCTAAATAATAATAATAATAATAATAAACAAGGAAGAACCTAGCCTCAGAATACAAAATGAAGGCATAAATCCCTGAGAAGGGATTCTTAGAGATGCACATTTCCATTTAAAACACATGATATGCATGTTTTTGAACTTTGATTTAATAGGCCTCCATGCATGAAACAATGTTTCTTTTTCTTAAAAACAAGACTATAATCATTTTCAATCTCTTATGTCACGGTGTATTTTGAAAGAGTTACACATTTGTCAACTGCAAAACAGATGTGATGAAACAACCTCTAACCACTTACTGAAATAACTGGCTTGTGAGCAAGTTTTACTCTACACAAGTAATCAAAAGGAGCAATTTTTACAACATTTAGTAGATTAAATATAGTAAATTCTCAATATTTCCAGATTTTCAACAATCATGAGAACCCTGCAGGAAACTCCATTTCGCGGATATGAATTAATGATAAATAAATATTTAAAACTGAAAAACGCTAAATTTACGCATATGAAGCAATGTGTTGCAGGGAACAGCAGAATAATACTAGGTCAATCAATATGCTATTCTGCTATTGCAGGTAACATTTAACATAGTAATGATAAATGTGAATATTGACAATCAGTGGTGGTTCTAGATCACAGTAAATGGGGGGTTAGGGTGCTTGTGCTATTAGGGGGCACACTTTAACATATATTGCAGTGCGTAGTTTTTTATTTCTAAACAACCATGTTGGAAGATGTTCCCATGTACATATTCCATGATGACAATACCAAGATTTACCAGGCTCAATTTTTGAAAGATTGGCCACCACAGAGTCCTGACCTTATACCTATTGAAGTCTTTGGGATGTGCTGGATGGAGTCTTTACACTGCCTGTTCAAAAAAAAAAAAAAGAAGTTGCACACTCTAATATTTTGTTGGATCACCTTTAGCCTTGATTCAATTGTGCATTCGTTGTGGCATTGTTTTAACAAGGTCATGAAACATCAAAGCATTTATTTCCATCAAGAGCTGCATTAATTTTTGGCCAAGATCTTGCATTGAAAATGGGAGACTCTGTAAAGTTGACTCCAGCACATTCTAAAGACTTTCAATAGGGTTAAGGCTCAGGACTCTGTGGTGGCCAATTCATACAAGAAACTGATACCTTATGCTCACTGAACCACTATTTCACAAACTGAGCCTGGTGAATCTTGGTATTGTCATCCTGGAATACAGACATGGGTACATCTTCCAACATGCTTGTTTGAGAAGAAAAAAAGCTACGCACTGCATCAGTTAAGGTTAAACGAATTGTAGCAAAGCATATAGCGTAAGAAACATGTTAATCACGGCAATAATGATCAGGCTCAAAAAAGTGGGGCAAATTTTATGATTTTGTCCTTTTCAAACATGACAGACCACATAAGACAGAAAATCATAAGCTAAACTCGCATTCTGTTTGAGTAGGTACTACATTTGAATTTGAACTTAAAGGTGCACTAAGCTATTTGTGAAAAACACTTTTGACCACAGTGTCGGACCAAGTCCCAAAACACACTCGTAGCCAATCAGCAGTAAGGGGCGTGTCTAGTAATGATAGGGAGAAGAGAGCACTCAGTGAGTGCACAGGATTGATATTAGAATACATTAAAGATACATATGAAGCAGCTGCCGATGCGACGCCATACGATTCACCCCAGTTACGATGCAGTGCGATCCGATTTCGATTCGATTCGATTCAACACAATGCGATTCGATGCAATATGCAATGGAGAAAATATAATCACTTTTAATGCCTCGAGGCCTGTTTCATAAAGCAAGTTAGCCAAATAAGCCAGGATTACTTCAGTTAGTCTGACTCATTGTCGAATGATTTGGTTCCATAAAGCAAATTTAACATAGGCCTAGATCAAGCTTAGTCACTGTGGCAACTTATGCTGGGAAACTAACCTGGTCTAAAGCAGGCTAACTGTCAGACTAAGTTAAGCTCCTCTACTGACCAATAGGAACACAATGATATTACCTCTGTCTCGCATACTATTATTTGACTTTTTTTTTTTTTTAGTTTCTAGCCATGCAGCCTTTCTCTCTGGTTTTATTACAGCTGTACCTTTTATAGTTTGCAGAACAGATAGCAGAACATTAGAACATTACAATCTAAAAT